TTATTATAGAAGATATAACTCAGGAACAGTCAAATGGAAGAGATGTGTAGGACAAGGTATAGGAGTAGGGGTGTGAAGCTTTCATGACTTCTCTGGATGTATTAACCTCCCAGCACCTCAGTGAGTTCACCAACTGAAAAGCTCTCCAAACTTCACTGATCAGGGGTTTTTAAGGAAGTTTCATTACATGGACATGATTAATTAAATTACTGGAAATGGGTAATTAACTCAATTGCCAGCCCCTCTCCTCATCCTGGAAGTTGGGAGGGGGTACTAAAAGTGTAAGCAGATAAGGTAGGGGTTCCCCAGAGAAAGAGAATCAGGCATGACTTTCTTGACATAAGAGAAGTCATTTCTGGCCTAAGCCATTTTGTGATCTAAGCTTGGCCACAATGCTTGCCCTTAACAGGTCTCACTTATTAATGATCTTAAAAGAAATGAGGGAATGGAGGAATAAAGGAAAAATAGTCAAGAAACAATAGTTCTGTGATAAAACAGAGTACAAGTTCCTCCTCAAGGGATATACATAACATTTTGATACGTATTTTTGAGTTCTGGGTTAAGGTCGCCATCCAGGTGGAAGACGATAACTACATGCTGAGACCTCAGACTGGTTGGAACCTAAGGAATGATGAATGTTGACCTTTTCTGACCCTTGTAACTTTAGTCAACTAAAACTTGGACTTGATCAATTTGCCCCAATTCTATGCTGAATTCTTCCCTGCTTAAGCCCCTTCATGAATATGCATACATTGCCCAAGCCCCTTCATGAGTATGCATGTACCCTTGGCTTAAAACCTCCCCAATTTTGCTGTTTGGGGAGACAATGCTTTGAGAAAGATTCCTGGTGTCCTCCTTACTTGCTGCAAGAAATAAATTCTTCTCCCACTCTTTGACTTTCTTGTGTCTTTTGGCTTGACACTCAACCAAGAGGCAAACCTAATTTCTGGGTAACAAAAGTTCCAAGCTTTTAATCATGGATTGGCCCTCTGGTGACCAGCTGCTATCATGAAGCTGTCTAAGGGCCTGCCTTATTAGGAAGGAAATCCTAAAAGTTTTAGTTTTGTGCTAGGAAATGGAGGCAAAGAACAAATATTTTTCTATTATACCACATGCAAAAAGGTGATACTGTAAGATACTTTTGAACCCTTGATTAACACAGACTGGGAAAAATGTCATTTAAATGTTGTAAGTATGCCTGCTTTTTAAGAGGTTAAATTTACCTTTAGACTGTTTTTCTAAGACAGCCATAAAAATGTGCCCGCAAAGCAAATGTAAATCAAGTATATACCTATTGTTCCTGGGAAAACTTTAAGAATCTTGAATGTAAACATCTTAGAGAAGCTAAGAGTTTTGTTCAGTAAATTAAATGTATCTAGGTATCAGGTTTCTACAGGTTTTTTGGCTTCCTTGTGAAATGTGTCTTTTTCTTTTTGGATTTGGATCACCCTCTGTATTATTTTTGTCATTTTCGTTTGAACAGTTGTTGTAGGAACTCTGATACTGTAAAGAAGAAAACTCTAAGAATTAGAGAAAGCTGACTGGAAAGGCCACACTAGAATTCAGTTGCAAACTCATCCATCTTTCGAGTCTAAGCAAGTGACATAAATGTTTGTGAAACTCTTCATTCTAAAACTATATGTAGTGTGAACAGTTTAGTGGTAAAATGGGAAAATTTGTGCCTTCTCAAAAGGAATGTAATTTCAAAATATTACATTCTGAACCATGATGGAGTAACAGGGACCAGATTTTATCCTCCCGCCAAAACAAACAGAAAACTGGACAAAATACATTAAACAATGGTTTTCAGACTCTGGACAATGTCAGCACAGAATAGTGACCAATGACCCTGTTAAAAAGGAAATAAGGAAGGTAAGCTCTATTTTTGTCCAAGTTCATTTCTGGAGTTCCCAGGTTGGAGCATGTGGAAGGGTACCCAGACAGAAATCAGCAGTCACACCAAGCGTTTGGTGTTTGAGGATGCCAAATTTTCTAGAATTTGCAAGATATGATAATGTTGAGGAAATATAATAATGTATAGAAAGTACTGCAGAGAACTGTAGAAGGCTGACCTAGAGTCTTGCTGAGGATTAAGCTGCACATTGAGCTGTGACTTAAAAATATCTGTGGAATTTGAAAGTAATTTTAAAACACTTTTTTTTTTTTAGTATTTTCTCTGAAATTTCCTTTGCAATTACTTTGTTTTAAGAGTGAAAACAAGGTTAAAAAAAAGTAATTCATTGGTAGTCATTTTGATAGCATTCCAAAAAATGAATAAAAATACATGTTATAATTTAATAATTTTTATAGAAAGGTTTTACTATTTACTATTGGTCATCACCTTGGTATTTATGACTTCAGCACTAAATTTTTTTTCTCTCTTGATATTGGAGATTACATAACTGTTTCTTAAAATGCTGTTCATTATCTACAGTTCAATATTAAGTACTAGTGTCTCAAAGACTTAGGAATGAAAACCTACCACAAAAAAGGATTAAAATGTGCCTTTGTATAGGGTTTAAAGCTTCTTTTTAAATAAATTATAAAACTTCAATTACTGTATTTACTGTTGAGTCTGCAAACTGATAGCTGCAATTAGGTGCTATCTTACATTAAAATGATGTAACATTTATAAAAATAAAAATTATTTTGATATTCCAGTTTAATCCACTAAGTTGCTATTTTTAGTTTATCAGTAAATTCTAATGGTCTTATCATTGATTAGATCACCACACAATATATTTTCTTATGTATAACTATTTAAATTATATTTTCTAAGTAGCAGGCAAATCTTTAAGGAAGCTTAGTTATAATAAAGGAATATGTAATATTTCTGTTTCCTTTGATGTGATTTAAAATTTTAATTCTTGACTTTCAAACTGAGCAGGACCCTTTGGGGCCTTCCTGGATACAAAAGCCTCTCCCTGTCTCTTTTTTCTTGATTGCAGAAAAAAGCTTCAGCCTCCCAGGATTTCCCTCAGTTCCAAAGAGCAAACTCAAATCATTACTAATTAGGAAAGTGAGGGAATGCAGAAACAAAGGAACAGCAGTTAAGCTGGATAAGTAATAACAGCCTAAACAATAATTCGGTGATAAAATAAAACCCTAGTTCTTCCTCAAAGGATATACGTAACAATCAGATGCATATCTTTGAGTTGTTCTGTATAGACAAATACCCCCAACCAAATGGAAGATGGTGATAACATGATGACCACAAGCCACAGATCCCAGACTGGATGGAACCAGGTTGCTGGCTAAGATTACTGAAAGGTCACCCTGTTACTGCATTACCAAGCTATCAGAAGAAAGTCCACAAGCTGCAACTCTCACCCAAAACATTGCCTTTAAAAACCCTTCCCTGAATGTCATCCAGGAGTTCGGGTCTTTTATGCACAAGCTACCCTTTCTCCTGGCTTGGGTCCCTGCAAATAAATGCTGTCCTTTCCTTCACTACAACCCAATGTCAGTAGATTGGCTTTGCTGTGAGGCAGGCAAGTGGACCCAAATTTGGTTCAGTAACAACTTCTCAAAAAATAACTAAGGCTTTACTATTTCCTGAGGGCGAGGGCAGGGGGAGGGAAATGGAAAACACCCTGTATATCAATCTACTTTCCACAGAAAATATATAATAGCACAAGGAGGACAGAAAAGTAATAGATGGTCTGTCAAATCACAAAGACCAGTGAATCAGTTACATCTATTCTGAACTCAGTTCTACTGGGCATACTGTGTAATTAGATTATACTAGATGATAAGACATCACCAGTTAGTTCCTATGATATTGTGATTTATAATAAGAAATACATATTTGGTCTTAGGCTCCTGACCTGGTTCCAAACCTTGGAATTTCCTGAGCAGAGAGCAATGTGAACACCTTTTGTTATAGTATTTGGTCTTTTGTCTGCAGTTATTGAAATCACTTAGGAGCCATCATGGTGAAATGGGTGTCCTGTTATTCATAAATACCTCCCTTCTACTACAACTGGATTTATGTTAATCAGGTGATTTTCGCAAAGCACATAAGGATGCTGCTGGTTGCTAGGGGAACCCACCTGAATAGAAGGTTGGAACTTTCAGTCCTACCCCTTGATAATGGGACAGGGAAGAGGAAAGGGGCTGGAGGTTGAACCAATCACCAATGGCCAATGATTTAATCAGCTGTGACTATGTAATGAGAGGCCTTCATAAAACCCTAAAAGGATAGGGTTCAGTGAATTCCTGGGTTGGTGAACATGTAGAGTCTAGGGGAGGGCACACTTGAGGAGGGCATAGAAGTTCTGAGCCCTTTTCCCATACCTTGCCTATGTATCTCTTCTATCTGGCTGTTCCTGAGTTATATTCTTTTATAATAAACCAGTAATCTAGTGAGTAAAATGTTTCTCTGAGTTTTGTGAGCTGCTCTAGCAAATTAATCAAACACAAGGAAGGCACAGGGTGAGAAGCACAGATGATAACCTGGACTTACAACAGGCTTGTGAAGTGGGAGGGAAAGTCTTGTAGGACTGACCCCCTACCATGTAACCTAAGGAGGGGTTCAGGGAACCTCTGATTTGTAGCTGGTCATCCGATGCACAGGTAACAACCTGGGCTCATAATTTTCTTCTGAAGTGAAGGACAGTCTTATGGGACTATGCCATTGATCTATGGAATCTGATGGTGTCAGAATTGAGTTAAATTGTAGGGCACTAAGCTGGTGTCAAAGAAGAATTGCTTGTTGATGCAAGCAATGCCCTCCCATGCACGTATACTTCCCACACAAGAATTGGTGACCAGAATCTTTAGGTTTGAAAATGGCAATTCTTGATTACTTACCTACAGTGTTTATAAACCCTGTTATAAGGAAAAAAACAAAAAAGTCAACATATCTCAACCACATAATTATTCATACTAAATACACACTATGTTTGATATTCAAGTACAAAATGTAAATAGCCTTCCTCAGCTGTGGCTCTTTTTAACTGGCACAGCCATTACGGTGGAGACTATGGCAGGTTTTTTACCTAAACTGTGGTTTCCACGAAGGGATCCATACTTAGAAGTCTGAGCTTTAGCTACCCAGAAGATGCTGTAGCTCTGAAAAGGGCAGTTGGGGTTCTCCAAGCTTTCTGGAATGCTTGCTTAGAGAGAAGAGCAGTAGGCTGCAGCTGTCATCATCCAGCAGAGGTGGCAGGAACATCACTTGCATAAGCCAGTAGTTTCAAAGAGTAGGAGACATAGCATGTGAGGCTTATGAGGAAAATAGACTGTCAAGAAAAAAAGAAGCAAAATTACCCTAGTGCACAAAACCTACTCTCCTAAGAATAGTGCTATCAATGCAAAGATAATGTCTGTAGCTACAGGAATTTGTTGTTTATGACCCTTTAATATTTGCTTATATCTCAATATTTATCATAAACATGTAATAAAATTTAGTATGTATGTATCTGTCTCCTCCACTAGACTGAGAACCCAAACCTACAGAAACTTGTACTTGGGTAGAACTGAGTAACGGGCATTTTCAGTATGTATGCCAACTCAAAATAGATAATAACAATGTTCATTTACATAGGTTTTGGTTTTACTTTTCAAAAGATCTTAACAATTGGATATATAAGTGACCTCTCACTGAAGTGGTATTAATTTTTTTGTCTTTGTCTATCTTATTTTCTCTGCTAAAACAAACTGGAAAAAAACTAGATTATTAAACATTTACTAAGAGAAAAATGTGCTTCTCTGGATTAGCCTAGTCAAGGGAGAAAACTGTGTAACGTTGTATGTTAATTTGAATTAACATAAGTCAAGAGTTACAAACTGCAGTTGCATTTGAACTCATTTGAATTATTCTAACCAAGTCAGAAAACTCTATGATTCAATTATCAAAGGCAAAATCATGGTTTGGTGTTTGTGAAATTGAGAAGTCTATTTTCATATCCAGTGGAGTCAACTGTTTGATATTAAGCCAGTCTTAAAAAATACCTGTGTATGGCATTATTGATTAAAAATTTATTTAAAATAGAATAACATGTATTTAGAATTCTATTGAAACATTGAACAGCTTTTAACTATAAAACCTGTCCTTAAGGTACATCTAATGTACATAAACCAGGTAATTAACATTACTTAGTAGAAGAGTTACAACTGACATTGTCAAGTGTCTAAATTCTAGGCATTGGTGTTAGAAACAGGGAAAAGACTAACATTTTGTGGGAAAATGTATAAGTCTTTTAATTAGACTGAAAGTAATATTTATACTTTAATAGATAACTATAGGTTCAACAGCTAAATTAAGTTCAGAAACACAAATGTGGCACTGAAAAAAATAGATGTGAAAAATTTTACTTGTTATCTTCCTCTTCCATTTCCTTCAATCCTCCCCATCTCAGTAAATTGTAACTCTTCTAGTAAGTAGTTTAGGACAAAAACCATACAGTGATAGCTGATGCTTTTTCTTCTCTCACATCCAAACCTTGTGTAAACTGTTAGATTTGTTTTTGGAATATATCAAGAATGTTCTCAACAGCTTCTTTATTATCAACTGTCATTTCTAGTTTGAATTGTCCCAATAATATTTAATCCTAAAGTGTTCATTGTTTCAATTGTTCATCCATCTACCCATCCAACAATTACAAATAAACAACCACTTAAATCAGACACTGGGGTACTTAAGAACACAGAGTATTGCCCTTTTGGCCTTTACAAAAGGAATATCTCTTAACCATTTTAAATTTACTATGATGCATTATTCCATTAAATAACTGCCAGGGCACTAAACAGTCAATACTGAGAAAGTTAATAACTCAATAAGGAATCATTTTCCAAGTCGGGATTCCAATGCTTTGCTTCCAAACCAAACTAAACTGGAGAGCCTAATCGATATGTCATTAAGGATATTCTGATAGATCAATGTCACTAATGATCTTTGGTAAACAACACTGAAGGAATAAAAAGTACTGGACGACATTAATGTATAATATTTTTACTCCTCTCAACTTACATGAACAAGATGTTTTATTTAGCCTTTTCATCTCTAAAACTGAAAAAGAGAAAAAGAATTGATATTGAACTCTATCAGATTCTAGCAATAAATAATACTCATCCAAGAAAGCTTTACCTAAATGATAAAAAGCCCAATTTCTTAAGAAATGTATTTCAATATTACTTTTTATAATATTCAAAATTGATACTTATATTTTGATTAGCTGTATACTAATAATAATTATAATGATAAATTTTTCTGAATTGACAATGTTCAGAATATTATGATCACAAGATATGCAATAAATGCGTATCTACACGTTTTTTTTTTTTTTCTGCAGGAAAGAAATAATAACCAGTAAGACTCTCATGCCTAAAACCATACTACCTAACAGTAGAATTCTATAGGTCACAGTTTCTCAATAGCACAGCACTATTGACATTTTGTGCTGGTTAATTCTTTTTTGTTGGGACTTGCCTTGCACAATGCAGGCTATTTTGAAATAATCCTGGACTCTTCCCACTAGATGCCAGTAGCCCCCACTTCCTATTTATGACACCAAAAATGTTTCCAGATATTGCCAAATGTCCTCACCCTCACACCACGAGGCTATATTCCATGAGTACCACTGCTGTAGGAGATATAATAGTAATGTAATGTAAAAGTTTGACTGTCAAAGAGCTAGCTCATTTTTAAAAAACATACGATGCATATCAAAATAGCATGATATTCAATTCCATTACATACATTTAAAAGAGCTATTGTAAATTGACATTTTACAATGTACTGGAAATCACATTAACTGTCATTACTTAAATTTACAGGGAAGAAATTTGGGTATTAGCTTATAATCCACTAGCCAAAAGCATTCTGTAGTTTATAGGATAGGTGGGTAATGTACATTAGCATTCATTTACTGATCTTTTTCTAAACCCTCACATGGTACTTTAGGACATTCTGAGTTATTCCATATAGCTCTAAGCCTCCTGCCCTCCACCTCCACCACCTTGAGGAATGTATTAAGTTCTTGAAGACTACCCTTCTTGATAAAAGTCTAGAAAACTTAACTGAAAAGAAATATCAGGGCTTTTAAACAAATTAAAATATTTAGATACAAAGCAAGTATTTTTCAATATTCAACTTACACAGGTTAATAACCTTTTTTTATTTCTACTCTTCAAATTATACCTATACAATTCCAAAGATTTGGAGGCTGAAAATAGTTTAAGAACTTCAGAGATCTTTTCTATACATAGAAGCAATACCTCTTTAATCCTGTTACTGGTCCCCTAGTCTCTCATTACGCCTCAATTTCCTCAGCTTAATCACTGGCAAGAACGACAATGGAATCATTCACTCTAACCATAAATATAAACACATATGTAGTGCTTTTATTGTTTTAAAGCAATTCCACATAAATTACTGGTATTAATTGAACAGATCTACAGGCCAGGTAGAAAAGATGTTAGGGATAAGAAATTTGCAGTTTAGTAATAACTTGCCTAGTTTACAATTCAGCTGCAGCAGCAGCAGCAATAGTAGAGCTGACACCTCCAGATAAATCATACCAAACTCTTTTCTTTCAAAATCCTCATTTGAGATTTTACTCACAACTTCACACTGTATGGAATTCTGGGATGCTTTGAAGGCAAGTTAAACAAATTTCTGCCAAAGGTGGCAAAAAGTCCCTCGTTTTAGTAGTCAAATTTCTTAAACAGTCACTTTCTACAGGCTTTGAAGACTAAATCTTCTACAGACTAGTTTGTCTGTAGTCAGTGTAACATCATTTAAACATCACTTCTATGTTGAATATAAATTGTACAAAGGTTTTATTTTCAAAGTTTGAATTCTTACATCACGAAGGTGAAAACACTGACTTCAACAATTCTTCTCAAGAGAATGGCTCTGCCCTTTACAATCAAACAGCTGCTTAGAACAACTCAGAAATGCATCTGACAATCCAGTATAGACGTTTCTCATTAAGTTCCTCAGAATTGATTTATACGTGCCAGTAAACAGGTCTTCTAAAAATCACTGTTCAGTCCCTACAATTAACTCAGTTAAAATCCCAGATATTTAATATCACATCAGGAATCACTCGTCCATCAGAATAACTACCCCTCATTTCAACTATTCTCGAGCTAAAACTAACAAGCATGATAATTACACATTTCAGCTATTGTAGCGTCTGGGTCCTCTAAAACTTATACTCAAACAAGGCGCTGTAGTTCAGCATTTCCGAGTTATTTTCTGTCTGGCGTGAATCTGGACCAGGGTTCCTGCGTGTGGAGCACCCGGCAGCCCCGGGTGCCCATGGCTACCACCGCAGCAACGCGTCGCGGCGCGCGGGGCAGGCCCGAGCCTGAGGGAAGGGGCAGAGGTGGTCGCCCGCGCCTCAGGGACCCTCAGGGGAGGCGCCGGGACGTTCGCTTCCCCGAGTTGAAGGAAACGGCTTCGGGGCTGGGCTGGGAAAACTGGAGGAGAGCAAGCCAACTGCTCGCCCCCGCTTCTTCGCAGTGGTTAGGGCAGAACTCCCGGCGACCCCGCCGCGTCAGTTCCCTCTTCATCCTACTTTCCCTTTTGTAACATGGTGTCTCGCGGACTTCGTTTTTTCCGTGCCCAGTCAGGGTAATTTAAGAGGTCTCCACAGATGTGACAGACGCCAAAGATGAAGCCCACAAACAGCCTGCCACCCCTCACGCGTTTCCCACGTTTTCCCCGGCGGGGCCGCCCCCGGGGGCCTGGCGCGCCAGCCCCGGGGAAAGCGAGCTCACTCTGGCGGTCTCGCCCCGCCCCCA